AACAGCTGCAGGTTCCTGCCATCGGAAAAGGCATCGATAAGAAGGAAAAGGAAGGGAAGGGAATGTCAGGGTAAGCGGGGTTTTGCTGCTCTATTAGTATACACTTTGCTATCTCTAGCCTGAGATTTGACTCAGCTCGTTCTTTTCTTCGTCCCATAACCAACCCCCTTTCTCCAGGACCCGCCCTTCGCTATATTTGCCTCTAGCGCGCCATATCTTCCGTGCTGACCTGTGCGCGACGACGTGGAAGCCAACGCCCATCATCTGCCTTGCGCGGAGCTCGGGCTCGCTCTTCGACAAGTGCAGCAGCACCGCCTCTGTCGCTATATCGTGCCCGGTGTCGCGACGATGCAGTCCCCGCACGGCTTACGAAGCAGCAGCAGTCACCGGCATCTCGTCGGGCCTGTGAACGCGCAACTCCTCCTCACCACCTTCTCCGCCGACACCCTCAGAGCCCATGCATCGTCCAGAGAATATTATGTAACAGGAAGGACAATCGAGGGCTCGCGGGGAGCGTGCTGCTCCTCCGTAGGCCATGCGAGGACCGTGGCGTCGCAACGCGGGACGCGCTATCCGACGTCGACGTATCGACAGATGCGCCAGCACTGCTGCACTCGGCGAAGAGCGAGCCTTCACTCCGTGTGCGTGCCACGGATGTGCGCGGGAACGGCTCCCTTCCTACACACAACCGGCTTTCTACAACTCCCACAGGCGTTTGGTCACCCTTCCCGCGCGACATCATCCTAGATGATTTCCAGGATTCCTGCTATGTGGATGAGGACACGGTGCTGCCCACCGTCTGCGTATTCCACGCCGCCCTACTCCGCGCCCAACGTCCCGGAAGGCGCTCGCGATGGCTCCCCCCCGAAAAAGCCCTGCCAGGATGCGGTCCCTCCCCTTCCGCATCTTCCCTCCCCCCTCCTTTTCCCTCGCAGGACCTTCCTCGCGTCCCTCATCCTAGCGAAGTTCACGCAAGATACAGGTCACACGAACCGCGCCTGGGAGAGGCTCGCCGCTCTTCCCGCACGGGAGATCGGTCGTTGCAAACGTGCCCTCAGTGAGGCTCTCGAGTGGCGGACGTGTTGTGCTTTGACGACGCCGATGCCCCCCCCCTCCCGCGAGGCCACACCCCCAAAAGCTAGTCCATTCCTAGCGACTGCGTACGCGCTCAACAACAGCGGGATGATGGCGAGTTCGACGCCGACCTCCTTGTCAGACCCGAAGTACAACCCCTGAACCTTTCTGCAAATGAGACAACGTGACAACGCGGATGTCCGGTGGCCAACCGCAGGGGGCCGACTCAAACGCTCGAGCCCAAACCCCGAGCCCGTTCCACTTCCGTTTAGCTCCCGGCCGCACCTCCTGCGCCGCCAGCAAGCCCAGCCGTCCGGCCTTCGCAATCAAAGCACGATCCGCGTCAAGCGCAAGCCATCGCCACGCGTGCAGAGCACCCAACCGCGTGAGACGAGTCCAAAGCTGTCCTCTGGGGAGGAGACTGCTGGGGAAACAAAGGCTGGCGAGGAGACGTATGCGTCGGAGGCGACCAATTGGATGGTCCGAGTCGATGAGCATGAGGAACAAGTGGTGGAGGGGCAGGAGGACGATGCGGAGGGGTTGGACAGGGATATTCAACATTCCCACAACACAATCCGCTAACAGACTCATCGCCGCGTTCTGGCTCGCCTCCGATCGCCCCAGAGTTCGGTGCGTCTTCGCGCAGACTCCCCAGCATCTCGAACAATGCGCGCTCGAGTAGTAGGAGCTCCAGTCGGAGCACGCCATTCAACCTCCCGGACGATGTCAAGGGTGATTTCATTGTTGTCGGGGCGAGGGAGGAGAGATGGAGTGGACCCCGAGTGTGAGTCCTTTTTCATTTCAACTCTTTCCGCTCCACTTTACACACACACTGACACTGTTCTCGCCATATTCTAGCTTCCGTGAAACATTTTGTGGTCGTCTGTGTGCGTGACCCCCGCTCCTGTTCGCCGCGGCCTCTGTTTATCTTGGAAGATTACCGTCATCGAAGCAACACGAGGAGTGCCGCCCGACGTGTCATGATGGTGCGTGTTTCTCTTACGGTTTCTTTTCCACCAAACTGAATGTACACAGAGTATATATCAGATGTAATATGCCTACGCGCGATGGGTATGGTGACCGTGGCTGACCCGCCTCATGTCTATGTACGTGTTATGCGCGCTCTCGGACCACGCCCCAATAAACTCAATCATTTTCAAGGTTTCCTTATCCTTCTCCGCCTCGTGGCATCCAACATAAAAACCCCTTCAGCGCTGCCATTTTTCACCATCGTGTTCTCACCATCGCGTTCTTTCCGAGCCCCCTCACCTACGATATCATCAACCTCGCTCTCGCCTACGATACCACCCCTTCGAACACCAGCATGGACGATGACCTTGTACAAGCCAAGCTCGACGATATACGTGCCCTCATCGACAGACCCACGACAACGCTGCCCGGAAATGCGACGATTTTTGACTACCAACGGGTAAATACTATCGTGTCGTCCCATTGCTCTTCCTTACTATTTTCCAGGTCAATCGATCTCTCCAGCTCGACTATCAGACACTTCAACAGCGTAGCAAGGTACTGCTCGATATGTACGGGAAACTCCAGGAGGAGAGCGATCGCCGGGCACTCATACCACGCTCGTCGGTGAGGAAAAGCAGATCTCGCGCGCTGGAGGCAAATTTTCTATTATGAACGAACTCTGGCTCACCGACGTAGTGTTTGAGACTCCTCGTCTGATGGACATCGACCCGATGCAACCTACGCGCTACGAGAGCGACTACGCGAAAAATCTCGCTGCGACGGCGGAACTGTACGATTCCCTCCCGCCCTCGCTACAGGTTGTTCTGGCCGACGACAAACAAAGGCCATGGTTTGTCAGAACGGTGCGTTTCTCGCTTTCGTCTGTGGTATATGACTATATAACTGTTCGCAGTTTTTGAAACAACACGTGCAGGAACGCTACAACGCCATCAGCCGTCTCCGTGAGTGTGCATCCCGTGTCCTTCCTTACAACGCTGGACACTTCACCCCAGATTCCAACAACAAGGATATCCCCGGAATACATGGGCTCATCACGGATCCGGTAAGTGGCGAATGTGACGAGTTTCCGCCACTCCTGTTCAGCGATTACGGGAACGAGGACACACTCTTCAGGGGCGAGATTCTACCGAAGGTGAGTATGGTCACAATCTTTACACTGTGGTCCATCTAACCGCTCCGTTGGATAGATGCTGCGCGGTCTGCTTTTGGGAAAGTCCTCACTGGACCACCAGCGCCCTGCGAAAAAGACCGGGAAAGTCGGCATATGGGGGCTAAACGGTGTGACTGCGGGCGCGATAGCAGGCGTCGCTACTATGGTGCGCCATCCTTCTTTCTCGTGTCGTCTCAACATTGTTCTCACGTGATTGCAGACCGTGTTTGTTCTCTCGCCCGATAACGAGTTCGTGCGGGAGGGCAATGTGACGAAGCTCAAGTATTTCGAACTCTTCGACGCATACAAGCTTGCCATCCTGTCCCTTCCTTCTAATATTCGCAAGAACCTCTTCGCTTGGTGGGATACCATCGTCTTTGGCGCTCCGGCTGTACACTTGGAGTCCGAGTACACCGACTGCAGCCCACCACAGCCCCTCGACAGGGTCCGAGCCCTCATCGCGCGCATGTCCCTTTTGGATACGGTGGAGAATGTTTCCGAGGAGTCGCAGGGTAGACAGCCCGTTGATGACTCGAACGGCGAGGACTCGAACACAGCGATAGCAAGTGTGGCCCAGCGCAGCCCTACTCCTGTACCTGGATATTCCACTTCATCCTTTGCCACTTCGTCCCTGCCTTCGTCCGTGTCGACGACGCCTATTTCAGTACTTGCACCGATCCCAGTTCTCGCGCCGACCCCAGTTCTCGTGCCAACCCCGGTTCTCGCGCCGACCCCGGCTCTTGCGCCCACTTCGGCCCTTGCGCCCACAACATCAGCTCGAAGGGTGACGACGTGCGACCGTAGCGCTACACGTGGGTCCGCGGGCAAGGCAGGCGCGGTACGCGCGAGCGGTGCGTCCACCGGCGAGGGTGCAGCAGAACCGGTGGCCGTTGTTGGCGGGAAACGTCGTAGTGCTCGTAAAAAGTGATCTGTGGGCATGGTTGTGTATCTACATGGACTTTCTGTTGCATAGATTAATTGTGCATCGGCTTTCAATGAGCCTCGGGAATTTCAATGAAGGACTTGATGTTTTCTTCAGTCTAAACTGGCTACAAAAGGCCGCATAAATTGTAGTTGGATTTTCCTATATAAAAAGACACCGTGGCTTAGTGGTTTTGCTATACTGACCTTGTAAGTTGTACTAAGCTTATACGGGTTCGACTCCCGGCGGTATGCCCACTTTAATATAATGTACCTTAATGTAGCTAATCATGTGATGTCCTTATGTAATATGTAATCGGAGTACTATATCAGTGTGAACGTAAATGAATAAGTGGTAGCACCTTAAGACAGTCCAAAACCAATAAGATAGTACAATAGATAGTAGTAAGGTAGCAGTAGTAAGATAGTAATAGAAATAAAGTAGTACCAGTACTAGTAGAACAGTAAGGTAAGAACGGGTAAGAATGGGTGAGAGCGGGTAAGAGTGGGAGCTTCTGATAAGGCCTGATCGTGATTATCAGGTCTGTTCCTTTTGTCAGCGATCCGTGTCAAGCCGATCATGACTTCGCCATCAATGATAAGTCCATGTCGTCATCCATCATGGCCTGATCAGGGCAACGGCCCTCCCTGGTAATGTTCCTTATAATGCCGAAAGGGGCATCTTGTCAGCAAGGAAGTCTCCATGATCATTATGATAATTTCGCGGCCTCAATTATGGCCCTTTGCGTCATTATCATGAATTATAAGTCGATTCCCAAATTTCCGACATCCCTCTCCTCCTCGTACCGCTGCCCACAACCTTCTGCCGCTAAATCGTGGTCAAAAAGACTGCAAAACCATTTGACGAGAGTGGGATTCGAACCCACGCCCGTGAGGACCAGATTTTTTGCCATTTCGTGGGTTCAAATCCCACTACCTTAGTCTGGCGCCTTAGACCGCTCGGCCATCTCGCCTTGTCCTCTGGCCGCCCTTATGCCCTCATAGGGCCTTCGGGGCGTTGTTCGGGCTCCGTGTATGATTATACTTAGCTCATTTTCCAGGACACACTGGACGGCAACTTGTCTCGGACCATGTCCAGCTAGGTCCAGCTTCCCACCTCCCGCTTGTGGGCACACCCCTCAACTCGATAACCCTCGCGAGGACACCATTCTTATTCAAGTTGTCCGCGGTTTGAGTGAGTCCTCAAGAAGCCCTGTAAGGTCTGCTTGAAAACGGCGTTAGTTATCACTTTGCCGTGAGGCTTTCGCGTTCTTACACCTGGTCCACACTTAAATGACACCTTTCCCCGCTTTGGTCTGACTCGTCTCAAAGGTATCCCCGCACTATCCTCTCGGTCTGGCCGCCTTAACAACGACTCGTCCTTCAAAATGGCTGTCTTCTCCAAGAGACTTGACCAACAGACCCCCTCCCCCGACCGCACCTTCTCTGACTCACACTTCGAACCCCCAGCCCCCTCCTTGCGACGCGCTTTGCTTTGGTCATCATGAAGCTCCTTTTCTTATCGGACGATCCCATGCGAACAACCCTCGCATCGCCCAACGGTCAAAAGCACTATCGAGTTCTCACCAAAACCCCGTTGTCCTCTCTCCAGTCGAGCAAGTCGCAGGTCGTCTCTCTCCGGGAAAACACAAAGCGTGTCGTGGGCGAGATCACCTGGGGAAGCATGGGCCGCAAGACCATGGTGCGGAGTGACCTCTTCCAGAGCTACCTCCCGGACGGGACCCCCGCTGCACACGGAAAGGTAGACGTGAACGAGCTCCTGTACCACACGACGTTCGCAAGGTACGCAGCTAAACCACCTCGGAGCCGTGGACGATGTATCAACAGCACCCTAGGTCGCGTTCGTTTACAGGTCAGGATATGGAGGAATACAAGTGGAAGTTTGTACGGACCTGCGGTCACGAGGTGCGACCCCTCCCCCCAACGTCGTTTATCATTCCATCCCCTCATGACTACATATCAGCTCATCCACATCCCGTCTGGTGCCGTGAAGGCCCTCTACAACCCATTCCCCGAATTCGTGCCGGCGGGCCTCTTCAAGGGACGGGCGTTGACCTCGCTCACGATTCATCCGACGTGTACGCTCAACATGGACATCGTTGTGCTCACGTTGATCATCGTCGAGAAGAAACGGAGGGATATTTTGTGCGACCCCACAGCTACCGCGCCGGAACATGACGAAGATCCTGTTGAAGCGGGAGTGGAGAGTGGCATGGCTTGATACGCGCGCCTACGCGCGCGCCGCGCAGATCAGTGTCGCGGAGATGAATGCCTTCCTTGTGTCGATGTCCTGGTCTGCGTACCCTATGTCCCGTTATAATCCGTCCTGTATCCTGGATAATGTCCCCCCATCCTGCATTGCCATTATCAGTGCTCACGCCATCGTGTTGCGAATTACGGTACGCTTGGTCGAGCCCATATCGCAGTCGCGGGAACATTCGGATGCGGTCGGACATCCGTGATCACACGACTTTTACAGGCGGGCGCCAACCCACTTGAGGTCCTAATATCCTTTCCGCTTCCTCCCAAATGTTCTCATCTCCCCCCCTTCTCCCTCCCCCCTTCTCAACGATCCTTCAACGGAGCAGCGCGAAGACGTAGAAATCTCCGGCATTTGCGTCGCTTTGCTCGGCGAACTTCGGCCTCCGCACGGCACAACACCCTACTATCCCACCGGCTTGTTCACAACCCCCCACAAGATGAGTTTCGCACAGACTACTACAGAAACAAGGACCATTCTCCTTCGACCAAGACCGCTTGCTCGTAACCCAGGGAGCTTCACGCTGCTTCCTCTTCTCCCGCTCAGACCGCCTCCGAAAGTGTTGCCGTCGGAAATATGGTCCCACGTGCTCAGTTTCGTTGTCCAAGATGACGACGTCGAATTGGAGAGGCTCGAAGTGGAGGATAGACGGAGGGTGCTGAGATGGCGATGGAAGATGCTGTTCGTGTGTAAAACCTGGCTGGTGAGTGTCTGTCCCTTCGTTTCTCATTCCAAGCGACCTAGAGCGCGCGCGGTCGACGATATGGGGAACGTCTCCTTCAGAATGCTATATAATTACATCCAGTTTGGCCAGTATTGACGCTTCTCGCAGGATGACGTTCGACCGCTGCTGTACGCGAGCGTGCACATCTTCACACTTTCCTCGCTGGACAAATTTGTCACTCAACTACACCATTCAGAACAACACTGGGACTCTATTAGACGCATACCATACTCTACTCCAGGACGCTGGGTCCAAGCCATCGACGTTTCCGAAGTCCGGTCAACAATCCCAGCGGCCGCTAACTCGATCGACCGACTGCTCACCACGCTCTTCCCTCTCCTGCCCTTCCTCGAGAACCTTACCCTTAGCCGAGAGCTCACGCTCAGCAAGTCGGCCACGCGGAGCCTCCGTCACAAGGACGGGACGGAGCGCCTCCGCACGCTCAAGGGCCTCCGAGTGTCTCCGCACATCCCCGAGTTTTCCCTCGGCACTCCGAGTGTGGACGATCCAACCATCGAGCTCCTTCAGCGCTGTGAGCAGCTTCAGCAGCTCGAGGTCTCCAACGATGTGGTCGTGGGTCCGGACCAGCAGACAGATCTTGACCCGGACGACCTCCTATCCGCCTTCCCCACCGCTCCCGCGCTCAACCTCCCACGCCTCCAATTCCTATTCATCCATGTCCTCTACCCTTCCTCCGTCCTTTCCGCGCTCCTCAACACACCACTTCCCGCCTTGCGCCACCTCATGATCACCCCATTCGACGATGGCCCGAACCCAGCGCTCGCTGACTTCCTCTCCGTGCACGGTGCCCATCTCTCCACGCTCCACCTCGCAACCCCCAAACACTGGCCGATCACCGTGCAGCCCCGGACGCTCAATGTACTCCGCCACTGCCCGCACCTCAAGCACCTCTCCATCGACTACCCGCTGCCTACGCTCATCTTGCCCCCGGGCATGAACCACCCACTGCAGGTGCTCACGATTCCCCGGCCCAACACGCGATTTCTCCAGGAGCTTGAGCGACTGCTGCCGCGGCTCGCGGGCTTATCCGTGGTGCGCGCGCGGAATGTGCGGTGGTTGAAGAGCGGAATGTCGGGGAAAGCGCTCGAGGCGGGCGTGCAAGGCGAGATGAGGGACTGGAGAAAAAGACTGGCGAGGAGAGGAGTCAGGCTTGTCGATGGGGATTGGAAAGATCCGTTGTAAGTCATTGTGTATTTCTCGTGATTGCTAGTTTTTACATGCTCTGCCGATCTATTCCACTGCTAATGCTATCCACCTACCCTTGTTCATGTACTCGTACACTATCCTACATCACCACTTTCGCGTAACTGCAGAACCTTCGCCAGCAATTGTACTAGAGCCAATGCAACTTCCCCGCCATGTTGTTGTGAATGGGTCTCAGCGCGGCCCTCCACTGATCGAGGTTGAATTCGTCCGTGGACAGGATCGAGGTCAGATCGTTCGGCAGCATGTTGTAGTCGAAGTAGTTCCAAGCCTCCTTGCAGAGTTCCTAATGGAGAAGAAATCAGCTGGACGACACGACGTAGGTGAGGCAGAAGGGCAGACGTCGGCGTCTGTAGAAAAGTGACGGTGAGTATGATAAGTTTGTCTGCAGACGGGATCACGTACAGTAAACGGGCGCAGGAACAGAGACGGAGCGTGTCGTCTGCGCACAGACGTGGCACAAGTAGTAGGACAGGTCCTGGAGACTAAAGGAGCGCAGGTTAGACGCGAACGACGTAGCAATGGAGACACGTACACCTCGTCGTCCAACTCCACCGCCCGCTTTAGGATGTTGTAGTGGGCAGGGCGACTCGCTAAGATCACGCAAGGTATTCAGCGAGGGTACACGCAATACTACAAGAACAACCTACTGCCCAGGATTCCAGCGTGTGACATGAGATAGAAGTTGGTACGACCATTGCGAGAAGTAATCGTGTCGTCAATGAGAATTCCGGGGTCGATGTTCCGCCCCGGGCTGGATACCGTGGTCAGCAACATACATCGCGCACCATAAAGCATGTGTACTTCGTGGAGTTCTTGGGGAAAAACCGAACATGATGCCTACGGTACATGACAGTCAGGTACAGTGGCAAAACAAGACAGGATGAAGGCTGGCACGCACCGCTTTTCGACCACAATGTAGGTCAATTTGACATCTGCATTGGTCTCAGCCCTTACTTGCTGCAAGGCGCCTGGAAGGATAGGAGGGTTCGTTGGAGGCTTTCGTACTGTGAATGAGTTACAGCCTACCGTTAATCGCCTGCTGTTCACGCAAGCCTGTGTCGTCATACTGTCCCTCGGATATACCGTCTCTGTAAAAGATCAAATTGACTGGAAGGAAATTCGTCTCCTTGTGGAAGAATTTGATGGAACGCTGGAGGAGACCCAATTTGGTGAATACAATACCACGACACGGTTGCCTAAAACCTACATAGACCATATCTCCCAGATCGTCCACGAAGTCGACCCGTGGCTCTTGGATCTTCACGAATCCTGCGTACTTGGTGGCATATCTATCGTGAGATGCTACAAGGCCAGCAACGGACGGTTTTCCCGCGATGCCAGGACCAGGGTGCGTAACATCCAGACCTAAGGTCAATCTCAGGTCAATGACATCTGTAAAATGTTTCCCGAAAGAAAAGCACATACCCAAAATTATGACCGGTTTCCCGAAAATAGACGACGCCAGGCGAGGGTTTTGTTTGGGGACAGAGTTGATACCGCCTAGCCTGGCATTCATCCTGGATGAAAGAAATGAGGACAAGTTGGAACGTATAAGGAAGACCACTGACTTCAATGCCAAGTTAGTGCACCATAGATCGTTAGGCTTGACTTTGCTAAGCACCTGTTCACGGTCGGTAAGAGGGGTGCGGCGAATACAGAAGAGGAATAACAAACCGAGCACTGCGTCGCGCATCCCACCACGGTATCGCCCCAATATTTGATACTTTTGTGCAGCTCCGATG